ATCAACGGAGACCACCTTCGAAGCGGTAGGGATGCATAGGAGGGAAATGTGAAACGAACACTTTGTGAATCTGAAAATCAAGCTTGTATTGAGCTAATTAAGCTTCCTCCCGCTTATGGGGTGCCAATGGATCATGTTTGGGTTGTTCAAATCAAAATTAATTTGAACGGTTGGATAGACATAAGAGATTAAATTAGACCAGTCTAGAGTTAATAGATAATAGTCCAAAGTATTTTATTGGATTGGATTGGACCTGGTCAGTCTGTAATGGATTTATATTAGATTGGTCGGATTGAATCAAGGTTCAAAGTATTAACACGTATCGGCCGATACGTATCATTTCGGGACCCCTCCGATACGCCCCTACAGTGGGTGTATCAGAGGTCTGACCAGTTCAGGGGATGGAGGTGCCCTAAACCGGCCCCCCTGAACCAATTGCGAAAAAAACAGGTATCAAAAGCTGTATCTATTCGCCCGATACGCAGGTATGGGCGTATCGGGCATATCGATATTTTGAAACTTGAATTGAACCAATATCTATTCCATTGACAGAAGATAAGAGTATGGGTGTCAATAAACTGGCTTGTGTTGGACCTAATCTAAAATTAAAACTAATTTGTACAAATTGAATGGCCCAAACATTGAATTGGAATATCTGGTCTGTTGACAGCTCTACTCCCATCCAGAAAGCTCTAACTTTGTTAGCTTCCACGAGTGGTACGTTTTTCACCATGGTATCCACAAGGGCTCCGCATTGTTGATCACATCACCGTGTCTCATCACGATCATGTTTGACGTTAAGGAAAGAAATGGATCTTGGTGTTGGTGGTGGCTAACTTGACCAAAGGGCTCAACAATGAGGTCATCATATTATCCATACACCCTGTGTATCGGTAGACGTATATAAGATACGATACGCCCTGTATCAAAATTTTGATGTTTGATATTGACTCAACTGTGGTGAAGAGGGGACAAAATGATTTGTGTTGCAGGTTGCAAGTCAAGGAAGAGATAAAGGAAAGAAAAGAAAAAAAAAAGATGAAAAAGAAGAAAGGAAAGAAAATGAGAAAGGGTGGGGATAGCAATTTTGCTGGAATTTTTTGATACTGAGTCTTGACCCTATAGGGCCATTACAGGCATCTTTGGCACCTGCATATTTTACTTAGAAGGGCCATTATATTTTACTTAGGCTGAGTTTGGAAGGAGTACGACTACAAATATATAGAGTGCAAAACCTTATATTTTGTATTATTTTATATGTATTTAAGCTTTACATGTTTGCATTTGTACTATTTCCAAAAAGCCTTATGTATTAATGTAAAATCAAGTGTAAGATTTACAAAGAATATCGAAGAGGCAACTTAAAAAAAAGTGTCCAGATACACTTTGAATATGAATGTGTATGGATATCAATACCAAAAAAAAAGAAAAAGAATATATATGGATATAATAGAAAATTAAGATATACATAGATATGCCATGAAAATTCAAATATATACTGAAAAAAATATAAATTATATTTAATTTACACTTCTAATAGCCCTAAATAAGGTATGTATACATAAGAAACATGTTTTTTAATGGTTTATGACTTTATGTGAAGTGTAAACCACCGGAATATCCCAAATAAATGTTGGCAAATGATATAATAATCATGCAAATGCAAAAGGTCACAAAATTTAAAATATACTAAGTTTAATAAAACAATTGTGATATGTCATAATAGTAAAATTATATTTTTCTAATGAAATTAGTCACCAACAAAAACATAATCGCTTACACTTTAGAGGTAAAAGCATTCAAAGTTGGTGTGATTATGGCTTGAAACCTAAACATAACTAAAGTTTCAAACTTTGGCATTTGCAAATGAATTTTCCATACATTAATATGCATGAATATAATATGATTTCTTTTCAATGCTAATTTAGCAAGATATTATAGATTGATCCAATGGCTATATGTTAGTATGTTACCAATTACATATTAATTTTATATAGGAGTGGTTTTAAATAGATTTAAATGAAATTAATTGAGTTAATGGAGATAATTAATAGAAGTAATTGATGGTATAAGAGGTGTTAAATAATGTTATGAGCATTAAGTTTAAGATAAATGGTGAAAAATGAAGGGGAGTTTTAAGATAATAACCATTGCCTTTTCCATCTTGCTTGTTCCTTTTTTTTTTTTATAGTTATTGTTTGTATCTCTTAAGAAAGGGGTTGTCTCTCTTTCCTTCTTTCTACTATCATTTTTTTCTTTTTATTTGTCTTATTAGAAAAGAAAATTTAAGAAATACCTAGGAATGACAATTTTTCCCATCACGGTTGGATATTAGATTGGGAATGTTGATTGTCGTGTTGGGAATGGGGGCAGATAATATATACATACACACATACATACATACATACATGCATATATATTAAAAAAATTAAGAAATTCAGATTCCAACAAGAAACCGAAATATAGTGGTGGCATCATCATTCATAATGAGCATGGTTCCATGCTCTACTTGAGAGCTTAAAGTTCACTCTTTCTTTGGATATTTCTTCTGCAATCTTTGAAGGCGATGCTGCTACATTGATCAACCTCTTGTTGGAGGATCATTGGACTCTTCCATGGAGCATTCTTATGTTGATAAATAACTACAAGAGTATCTCTTGTCACGCCTTCCTCAGGTCCTGTAATCATGTTGCTCATAAAATTGCTCCGTGTGTTATATTTTGTACCCATGTACAGACCTGGTCACCACCAGATTTCCTATCTCTTGTTTTATTCTCTGATGTAACTGAGAGGAATTAGTTGATGAATGCATTAGCCTTCTGGCTTATTTCGTTGGTTTTGATCATTTAAACATTCAAGACTTGGTAGGCTAGGAGGTTCTTAAGCCTGTGTTTGGTTGTAATGCAAATAAATTTGTACTGATGCAAACCTATAACAGTGCAAATGATTTGAGTGTAAATTCTGACCTATTTTAGTTTCAAATTTTATCATTTATTTTCGTTTGGTCACACTACAAATGAATTAATTAAGACATGAAGCAGAATAAAGTAAAATCCAAAATTAAATTAAACAAGAATTTGCATTTTTTACATTTGTATTCTCAAGCATTTGTACTAGTGCAAATAAATTTTCACTGCAACCAAACACAGCCTAAAGCTCGATTAGTTCTCAAGGGTTAATTGGTCGGACTGATCTCGTTGAAGCCAACTTTAAACCATCTTTGCTACCTCGTTATGCTTAATTTGAAAAGAGTACAAATACAAATATATACAATACAAATACATACAAAATAATATAAAATATAAGGTTTTTCACTCTACAAAATAATACAGTACAAATACCTCGTTAGGATCAGTTTGGACGGAGTACAAATGCAAATATGTACAATCCAACTACATACAAAATAATACAAAATACAAGGTTTTGCACTCTACATATTTGTATTTGTACTCCTTTCAAACTGGGCCTTAAGTGTTTAAGTCTAGATAGGGGTGCAACTTGGGCAGACTTGGGTTGAGAATTTGTTAAAATTTGAAAGAATGTGATGCAATGTAAATTTTTTTAGGACCCTAATTGGTACCATCACCGTCATCCAGCCCAATCCAATTCACCTAATCCGATAGATGTGGATTTTGAACCCATATACAACCAAGTAAATGAACTTGATGGGTGATGCGAGTTAAGGGCTGTTTAATATTGTTATTGGTAGGGGTGGTAATTTGTATTCTGATATCATATTCATGTCTAACCTAAATTAACACAAAATCAATCCAATTAATTTTTTTAAATTAAATAATAAATAGATCTGAAGAAAAATAAACATTCAATAATTCATTATCTAAACAAATTCATAAAAATCAATCAATGTCATACTTATCACTTATGTACCATAATGGTATTTCATCTAAATATACATGCATGACCTTCTACTTAAAATTTAGGGTCATAAACATATCATTTTAGAGTTAAGTGAATCATTTCAAAATTAATACATTCATTAATTTTGTTAAACGGGTTAATACTACTTCAACATGGACATGATGAAGGTAAACCTAAATATACTAATTTCTTATTATATTCACGTATCATGTCAAATATTACTAACGCTAGTCAATGGAGGATCTAAAGAATTTTAGGTTTCATGTGGATCCGGTGTAAAACGTTTTTAGTGTAAAAGTACACTGATGATGTTTTATACTGAACCGTATAATAAGTGACTTTTGCATTTTGAAAACCGTGATAAAAAAGTATAAAGTTTTACATTGATAAAATCGATGTAGTATTTATATCGATAATCGATGTAAAACTTTATGTTTGATGATGTTTTACATCCATTCATGATATAAAAATTCACTCAGCCAAATGCCAATAAATCTAAACCGGAGTAGAGTTTTACATCGATCTTTATTTACACTCCTTCCAAACACTAACAAAACCGAACCAATATAAACTTTTACATTATTCTTAATTTACACCGATTCCAAAAGCAACCTTAGGGTCATCACGCTATAGTTGTTGGTTTTGCCTAGTTTACAAAAAATATAAATACAATATACATAAAAAATATAAAATACAAGGTTTCTTAATCTAAATAAAAAATTCTATTTGTACTCCTTTTCAAACTGAGCCTTCATATCATAGTTGAACACGTGGTCAATAACCATTTTGTCTTTTCCTCGCGTATTCTTATCTATCAAGAGTGCCGAGTCTCGATAGCAATTTCATCTGTGCCCCATAAAGGCCCGCAGTACATCCGACCTTGTATTGAAAACATCTTCTGGGAGAGATGATAAGACATCATCTGGGCGATACAAGGTCGGGATGTGTTGTGGGGCGCAGATGTTAAGTCGAATTTCATTTTTCCTCTATTTTATTTTTAAACCTTAATATTTATTAATTATTTATTTTGTTTGTTTTTCAGAGCACACCTCGACCCAACAAGCCCTTATCAAATCCGTGACGACTTCTCGAGCACAAATGCCGGTAAAATCCGATAGAATTAAAAAACAATATATTTTCATTTCTAGTTTTGTACATATCGTCTGCGAGTGCCAATATCCTCCCCCCTCTCTCCCTCTCTTCTGATAATTTCTTTCATTTTGGTTGTCTGTCTCCAAAATTCGGAATTCAAACCCTAAATCTTCTTTTAGTGGTTGCAGGATATCGTAAGAAGCTCTCTCTCTTTCTTTCTCTATCATTATCTTCATCTGTTCAATCTCTTATATTTGTTTTCACTTATTCTATGTTAAGAGAATTTCAATTCAATTCTTAATGGTGTTCATTTATGTATTACCGGATAACTCTGGATTCGCCTTTCCTGTTCGGTATTTATTTTGTTTTATGTTGCTTAATTTGTTGTTGAATTATTTTTAGCTTCAGGCTTTCGTGAAATTTGATTTGATTGTTTTGAGTTTTATTTCTGCCTTCTATTTATTGTTATTTTTCTTAGAGCATTTAATTGCGAGGTCTTAGTTTTTCAAAAAAAAAAAAAAGTGCGAGTTCTTAGTATAACTTAAGCTTATTGGCTAGTTATTTTCGTCGTCTAGAATATGAATAGACTCTGATTATCAACTTCGAGTGTTGATTATTGAGTAGTGGTGGTGCTGGGGCATCTCACTTTCTCACGGTCCTGTGTCCTCGAAGGGAATTCATGGTTGTGCATCATGCTGCTTGTGGTTCCCGTTGCATGACCTCAAACTTGCAAAAGTTCAATTTGTACTCCATTCTTTTTTAAGCTTCCAGAGCTTAGCCCATTTGTGCTCCTTTGTTCCACCTAGAATTTCCTTCTATATTTCGGAAGCTCTTTTCAGGAGAATAAACACTTCTAACTCGAGTAAGAGAAAAAATTATTAGATGTTCTTACATCTCCCTTCATGTGTTCATTATTCGTCTTTTGAATGGGGAATCAACCACTCATCTGCCCTTTCATTGTGCTGACAATAAGCATCCGCTTGGAAGATATTAATTGGATGGCCTTAGGCAGTTCTGTAGAGTGTAGACGTGTTTTTTCCTGTGTAAAGACCAAAGGTTGGCTTTACAAGGGAAGGTCTATTAGAAAGCTATCGTTCATGCAGTGATATGGTGATGCAGGGCCAGGTGAAAGTGGTTATTTCAATGGGAAGGTCTATTAGAAGGTTCTATATATGTGCTTCTCCAAGTTTGGATGGGCCTCAAAGTGGTTATTTCAATGAGATAGCAATTCAGTGTTTAACAAACCTGTTTGAAATTGGCCATATTTTCAATGGGCTTACACGGATAAACCTATAGGCCCAAGTCCAAATTGATCAATGAAGAATTTTCTCGTGTTTGGTTCTGACTCCCAAAAAGGAATCTAGTGGTCTTGACTCCATTAAGTTCTATATTATTCTAACAATAGGTACTATTCTATTGGTTGCATATTACAATTACTGAATGTGTTAACAGTTTTGGATCAGATCCCATTAGGTTCTATAGGAGGGAGGCTTCTTTTACTTTTTAAACCATGAGTTGGGAGTTTGATATCACCTCTAGAGGGTTTGGGGAGTTTAAAATGTTTGGAGGCTTGGTGTTCATTAATGAAGAAAAGGGAAACAAGATGTTGTACGCCAGATGAATAAAAAATGGATCTTGTCATAAAGGAAAGGGATTGTGAGTTTTACACACAAGAAACAACATGAAAAATGTAAAATAGATGATGTGGTAAGACTAGGAGAATAGGAGTCTGGCATCAACATTACATCACATAGCTTCTTTAACCAGGTGAGACGTCATCCTCATGGCTCTGTCCCTCCCCCCTGCCCCAAGAAAAAAAAATCCACCAAGCAAATTTATGCTCAATTTTGATGACTGTTCTTTAGAATCTATTTATTTCTTGGTAAATGGGGAAGAAACAAACACAACCTTGGGGAGTCTCATGATTTTGGTATCAATGGTTTTTCCCCTGGTGACCATGGAGGAGCTATTTTTCCCTTGGTGACCATGGAGGAGCTATTTTCCCCTCTAGAAAATCTGTTGACACCTAACTGGGATTTTGGGTTCCGTAGAAGCTTAAGGGAGGAGGAAATTGATTGCCTACCTAGTCTACTAAGCCTCCCTGATAAAGTTTGCTTGGACCCTTCTAAACTAGATAAGCATCTTTGGACACCTTGGCCGATTGGGTCTTTTTTTTGTGCTTCTTTATTCAGGTCCCGTTCTCAATCCCCTTCGAACAAACCCTTCCCTTTTAAGGAAATTTGGTGTGAGCCTATTCCCCCGTAAGGTTATGGATTTTTGCTGGGAAATGTATTATGGGAAAATAAACACCTTGGATATTCTACAAAAGAGAAGACCTTTCCTTTCTATCTCACCTAACTGGTGTATCCTTTGTACATCTCATGGTGAGAATTGCTGCCATGTACTAATATCTTGTTCCCTTACTGCAGAGTTATGGGAGTGGCTCTTCTTGATGTTCGAGTGCAGGTGGAATAGGCCAACAGAAGTAAGTTTGCTTTTGATCCTTCCCATGGCGTCAGAAAAGAGGAAGAATCATGTGGAGGTGTGCTAGAGCGGCGCTGAAATGGACAGTTTGGGAAGAAAGAAATGCAAAATTCTAGAATCTTCCAAGAGAAGGAGAGGAAAATACAAGAATTGAAGGAGTGCATTCTATATAGGGTGATATGGTGGCTAACGAGTAAAGACACTGGATTTATTCCACCAATTCTCCTTTAATGATATAGGGAGGAATTGGTCAGCAGTAGCAAGCTGCTCCTCTTTAAAGACTAGAATCAATATGAGTTGGGAACCCCCCTGAAGGATTTTTGAAGCTGAATTTCGGTGGCAGCGGTCAAGGTAATCCAGGCCCTTCTGGAATGGGAGGGGTGCTGTGGAATGAATTTGGAAATGTGGTCCTTCTTTACTCGGGTCCTCTAGGGGCTGGGAACTCTACTAGGGCAGAATTGCTAGCTGCCATCCAGGGTGTCCAGATTGTAGTTCAGCTAGGTGTGGGACAACTAGTAATTCAAGGGGATTCCAAGGTGGTAGTGGGCTGGCTATAGAACTCATTTGGAGCTTTAAGAATGAAATAAAAAAAATTTAAGTGGCTGATGAGGAACTTGGCTGTAAGTACACAATGGGTGGGGAGATCAGCAAATGCTTTGGCTGATTGTCTAGCAAAGCAAGGGGGCAAACAGGGAATAGTTGTACTGGGCTCATTTGTAGTTTGAATTAGTGCTTTAAAAGGCGTGGGAGGCGTATGCCTGGAGGCACACCTCTAGGTAAGGTGCTCCCAAAACGCCTTGAGGCGTATGCCAAAGGCGCTGACACCTCTGAGGCATACGCCTCAGGTGCAAGAGGCGTATGCCTCATGTGCCTCATGCACATCTTATATAAAAAGACAGAGAAAAAAGGAAAGGAAAAGAAAAGAAAGGGAAGGGAAAGAAAAAGAAAGAGAAGAAAAAAAAAAGAGAAAAGGAAAGGGAAGGGAAGAAAATATAAGGGGAAAGAAAGTGGTTATCTTTCCAGTTAGGGGGGTCTTGCTCCGCTTTGGCAGGACCCCCCTTTCAACCAATGTTATGCATCTTTATTCTTCTTAATATAAAAGATTTTTATTTAAAAAATGAAAAAATGAGATCCCCCCTTCCTCTTCATCTTCTTCCCCTTCCTCCTCCTAACCCCCCTCCCCCTTACACCTCACGCATCTAGGTAGTGGAACACCTCATGTCACGCCTCCACGTTTTAAAACATTGGTTTGAATTTGTTCTTCTGTTTTCTGTTTCTTCTTGTTCTTTAGAGAGGGTGCAGCTCGTGCCTCTTCACGGAAAGCTTGCATCTCCAGTTCTCTTTCTATTACTGAACTCTTAAATTATTTATCAAAAAAAGTTATTAACACAGAGATTTTATCTCTTCTAAGGTCTATGCTTGATTGACTCTCTAGAGTTCTCATTAATGGAGGCTTAGTATTGATAGGATGGATTAGGGATGGAGATGGGGACATGTGGGTGCTACATCATTATTAGTGAGGCTAAATCTGTTGCTTTTAGGGAGGAGTGGACAGGGGTTAGCTTTATTGTGGATCATTCCTTTGGGGATGTTGAATTATGAACTGTACACTTGTCACCATGTTGGATAGGGTCTTTTTTGTTGATGGTCTTGTCTTGTGTTCAATATTTAGTCTTCCTTTGTACTAGGTTTTCTTTGGCATTATGATACAGTTTTTTTTTTTTTTTTGCTGTTTACAATAGAAGATGTATAGATAGGTGGAAATGTAGGTGAAATAACAAAGTGCGAGGAAGAGAAGATAAAAATATGAAAAAAAGAGGAAAGAAAAAGGAAATAGAGTATTCGTGGGAAAGAAGACATTTTCCATGACTGATTTTCACATATGAATGTTATTTTCAATTTTGCATTTGAAGTTTAACTGTCATGGATTTTTATGCTTCTTCAAAAAACTTACAAAATAATTGTAGTTTAGACAATCACACTGCTGCAGTTTTTATGGACCTGATTAGCCATAGTGCTGGCTATTTCTCATTGTTGCTGCTTACTGAGCTACTTGCATTTGATCATCTACTACCTTACCTGAACAGGTATATTGAGGAAAAAAGATGAGTACATTAGACACAACCAGAGCAGAGCTTGCCCTTGTTGTCTTGTATTTGAACAAAGCTGAAGCCAGGGATAAGATTTGCAGGGCAATACAATATGGTTCAAAATTCTTGAGCAATGGAGAGCCTGGTACAGCTCAAAATGTTGACAAATCAACTAGCTTGGCTCGCAAAGTTTTCCGTCTTTTTAAGGTAGGTTTTTTCTTATAAATTTATTGGGTGAATTAAGAAGTTGCTTGGTCTTCTTGTTGTACAACTGGTTTCTTTGGTTGGTCGTCCATTTCTTTGATGTGTATGAGGTGCCATATGCTGCAATTGCTTCCATTTTTGAAGATTTGTCTGAGAATGATTGCATATTCTTACATACTTATTTATTGGGGGTTTATCTAATTATTTCTTGAATTTGCAGTTTGTCAATGATTTACATACTCTTATAAGCCCAACGCCTAAAGGAACTCCACTTCCAATCATTTTACTTGGAAAGGTAAATATTCACTACAGATTGAATTATTTAATGTACTTCTGGAGTTTCTGTCCTTCATCTTTGATTACTTTCTTAACTGATACTTCTTTCAGTCCAAAAATGCTTTGTTGTCAACTTTCTTGTTTCTGGATCAAATTGTCTGGCTTGGAAGAACAGGCATCTATAAGGTAAGGTTTTATTTTCCTTGTCTATATCTAACAAGGTATTAGAAAATATAATCTTAACCAATTAATGGGTTTGTTTCTAGAACAAAGAACGTGCTGAGCTGATTGGCAGTATATCTCTTTTCTGTTGGATGGGTTCTTCAATTTGTAGTTCTCTGGTTGAGGTTTGTCATCTCTTCTTCCAATTAGGAGATAATTGATATACTTCCTTCTTTTTCTTTTTGAACTATAGGCATAAAAATTCCAAAAGTGGGGTTGTAACTTCTCTCCTTTTTCTTTTCAAGCTTGCGGAGCTTGGAAGGCTGTCTGCATCAATAAAGAAGTTGGAGAAGGAGCTTAAGAACACTGATAAATATCAAGTATGTTTTACTTAATGGTACAAACTTGTTGAAGGAGCTGACCTTATAAGTCCTCCTCATGTTTCCTTTCATCCTGAAGAATTTCTCCTCTTTTTCTGTTGGTGAATGCAGAACGAGCAGTACTGTAACAAGCTCAAACAGTCAAATGATAGGTCACTAGCGCTTGTAAAAGCACTCATGGATATAGTGGTTGCAGTTGGGTTGCTTCAACTTGCACCTAAGAAGGTCACTCCTCGTGTGACAGGAGGCTTTGGATTTGTCAGCTCTCTCATCTCTTGTTATCAGGTGCTTACTGATTTTATAAAATTATTAGGAATGAAGGCCCATTTTATTCTTGGATAATGATCTCTATTTCTTTAATAAAAGATCAATAATTTGAGAGCACAGCTAGGTTTTATGGCTGATGATTTTCTTTTTTTTTGTCCTTTTCCCTCTGTTATGCAGTTGCTTCCTTCTGCACCAAAGAGTAAAGCAGCCTGAGGAACAAAACCTATTTTGCTTAGCATGCATGTGGCATCATAATAACATTCCAGATTGGTAGGGATAAATCCCATGTTAGTGTATGCTACTGTACAAGCTGTTGAATGGTAGAAAGAAATTCATGTTTCACCACTTACATAGATGGTCATGATTCATTCATGCTTTCTTATATATCATAGTTAATATATCTTGTTGGTTATGTTGATTGGATGATTATATAGGCTATGTTTGATTCTGTGGGCATTTATTGGAAAAACGCCACCACATCAGCACCACTTAGGCATTGGTGTTTATTGTGCATGAAACCACTGTTTGGTTTCAACGTCTATCAAATAAACATTAAAAAACAGAAACACTTGGATTTATGTGCATGAAGTGTTTATTGAAATGAAATGCTTACCTGGAGGGGTTAGCTTTGGCTGTTGGGGTCCAACAGCATAGGCTGTTGAGACAGTTTCTGGGCTGGGCACGTTCTGGGCAGTTCACCCACTCACGCCCATGCTTTGGTTTTTAGTAAAAATAAATTAATATGTAATTACTAATTTACCCATTCTCATGGTAACGTGGCATTCCCAGAAATTCTCTCAACAGCATAGGCTGTTGGCCCCCAACAACTAAAGTTTTTCCTACCTGGAGTATTGTAAACTGAGGTGGAAGATAGCTTTATGGGGTGTTACTTGAAATGCCCATTAAACACTCAACTAAACAAAAAAAAAAAAAAATAATCATTTAAAGCAATGTTTTTCAATTAAACATTTATCTGAGAAACACCCCATCTATAAACACCCGTGGAACCAAACACATACATAATCATGCATTTTTGCATGTGGATACATAATTTAGAGAAGAATTTGCCTATCTCCATGCTTCTGGACATTAGCATGTCCATGTTCTAATACAAGGGGCAGCAGTCAAACTTCAAGAAGCACTTGATTGGATACGAGTATGACAGACAGATCAATAGTCAACAGAAACAATGTTAGTGATGTTAAAAGTTCAGTCTATAGTGTTTCTTGGGGTAGCATATGATCTCAAATAGTTTTTACTTTAGTTATCATACAATGTGGACTGAATGGGTGCAACCTACATGTTGAGTTTCCATTTCAATGTGGTTTATTTTATGTAGATCATCCCTGAAGCCCTTTCAAGGGATATATATTACTGTTGGTTTCAATTTTTTTGTGATTCAGTTCTTGTTCTTTCTGTAAGACAACCTAATTTACTCGTTGGGTTTCAGACACAATAATAGCTATAGTTTGAAGTAGGTCAAGGTTTAGGAATTAAATTTGGTAGAATGCTAGTTGATTACACCAATAAAAAAAGCTAGTTGACTAGGGATTAGAGTTTAACCAAAATAAAGTGTAACTGAAGTTAATGCTTCAATTTTGAGTGCCTACAGATCAAATTCAAGAACAATAAGAAATGAGAGATCAAACTTCCACTCAAAGAAGACTTGGCATTAAATCTATCCTTTGTTACTGGTGGATGGTATTACATCAACCTAGGTGACTGCTAGGAATCACAAAAGATCAAAATACATGAGGATTCAATGAGACTTTTGTAGGCTGATGGAACTGTAAATTAGGCCAGTAAAGGCTCTAAAATTTACATTTTTGGTGTTAATAAAGTTTGACTAAACTATTGAGGCATTTTGGTGTTAATAAATTTGGCCCCAAACTAGGCTCAATTTTATTTATCCTTTTCTGAAAACTGCTTTATGCCTAGTTAGATTCAAATTTGAAATAAAAGTCAAGACCTATAGTAATAAGTGACTCCGATAGTTTTTCCTATTTAACAAAATTCAGTATTAGATTTTTAACTGAGATGGTTTAGGCCAAACCAAAAAGGACTTGGGTGGAAATAATAAGAAATGACTCAAGTGCGGATATGGCACTGAACAGAATGGGATGGCGAAACAGGATACATGTAGCTGACCCATATGCGATGACGATGAATAATGAACTAAGGCTGTGTTTGGTTGCAGTGCAATTTTATTTGCATTAATACAAATGTATAGGAGTGCAAATGAAAAAAATGCAAATTTTGATTTAATTTTGTTTTGGGTTTTAATCTKCTCTGCTTCATGTCTTTTTTTATTTTTATTTAGACTGTAATTAAACAAAATAAGATAAAATTTGAAACAAAAATAAACCAGAGTTTGCACCCAAATCATTTGCACTGCCAATGTTTTGCAATGGTACAAATAAATTTGCACTGCAACCAAACACAGCCTTATTATTTCTGTTTGGAGCCAGAGAGATTTGATAATACGTCGCAATTGTTTTCATTACATAGAAACTATTCCAAAACTCCATGAACAGAGGTTGAAGAATAAATCCAACCAACCTAAGAATGGTGGATCTGTATGCCATCTGTATTTATGTTTATGATGTGCATGGTCAGACATGAATTTTATTATGACAAGAGAGGAAAGATGGGAAATTGGATTGTCCTCGCAGCCCCGTGGAGTTGTGCGTCGGAAATATCTCTCTATGACAAAAACCGTATAACTACAAAGATGTTCCTAAGGTTCAATTTGGAAAGAGTATAAATACAAATATGCAGAGTGTAAAACCTTGGACTCAGTTTGGAAAAAGAGTATAAATACAAATATATACAGTGTAAATATATACAAAATACAAGGTTTTGCACTCTATATATTTGTATTTGTCATTCTTCCAAACTAAGCCTAATGCATCGCTGTAAAGGGCTGTGAGGATGACAATCTCAAACAATAGAGAAATGATTATCATCATCATCATCATCATCATCAAGTTTTGGTCATTTTCAAACCTATAGTAAGGTTCTCTCTTCATTTCTGTGGGAGGTTTATATAATTCAATGATACATAACACTGAACAACAATGGAATGGTGAAACAAGATTCGTCAAGGTTCAAAGTATCGACATGTATAAACCAATAACTATCATTTCAGGAGCTCCTTGATATGCGCCTATAGAGAATGTATCGAAGTTCTGACTGGTTCAAGGAATGGAGGAGTCTTAAATCGGCTTTAACAAGTCAACACAATGAATGAGGCATAATGGCTTTACGAACAGCTTTAACCTGAAAGATAGTCGTTGAATGAACATTGTTCTGATAGAAGGGATCTATGGGTGTCCCATTGTCCCCTCCCCCTCCTTTTCCTTCTTCACCAGAAGGGTATCATATTGGTTTCTAAACTCGGTGGCACACGCCATGGATGAATAGCCAATATTGATATCATTTCCTTTTATGTATCGGCTTGTATCGTATGTATCAGACGGTTTATTAGTATTTCTATCCATCTACATTGGCCGATACAAAATATGTACTTTTGAAATTCAAATTCAATTTTTTGGTAATTAAATTTAAATTCAAGTTGATGCTTCGATTTTATTCCGCCATTCATGCCCATTAATTGGGATTTTTCAAATTATGCCATTTAGTTCCTTTTCTCATTAAATATGTAATCCGAATTTCAAAATTTTCGTTAATGCTTCATTTATTGTGATTCTCACCATTGAAGTGATAATGATTAAAGATCAAGGGCCATATATTGTTCCGTTGCCGCAATTGTTAGGGACCATTTGGGGAAGGTCTTGGATTTCAAATGCTCAACTCTTGACACTATCTCCATTAATGCGGCTGAGGTTTGGGCTGCATGGGAAGCTCATAATCTGGCCCTCAACTTTAATGACTGTCAATTACATTTGAGGGGGACTTGACAATTGTTATTGATTGTTTAAAAGGGCAGTTTTTTCCCTCGTGGAATCTTAGGAACATCATCTTGGGTTACTTGAAAATGAAAGAGTGGCTGGAGAGAGGTGTATGATACAGGCATGTGTTTAGAGAGGCAAATCAGGCGGTGGCGATGTCTTCTTCTCTTTCTGCTTTTTCTTTTAACTATTGTAATCTTCCTAGAGACCTTTATTTTATTTGTTTTAGTGACTTCTGGGGTCGTGCTTCCCCTGTCTTGTGTAGCACATTTTCTTTCATATAAAAAAATGGCCATATATATAATTCAATTAGTGTTATATACGAATGTTCAACCTGAAAATTAAAAAATAAAGAAAATGATCATTAAAATGAGTATTTTATAAATATTAATAAAAAGAATCATTTATTATAGTAATTAAAATTTACTAATTGCAAATGAGATGTATCTTTGAAGTTCTAATGGATTTGATATTCTTTTTAAATTAAGATTATAAATTTCTATAAATTATTGATTAATGATATAGTTTACAATAAATAATAGCATACTTGTCATTTGCATAAAATAATTATATATATATATATATTTATATAAATAGAATAACTTTTTAGCAATTAAAATCTAATAATTACTTAATGAGTTATGTCTTGGGTTCTTGAATTTATTGATCTTTTACATTCTTATAGTTCTAATACATACTTAGAGTTATATATACTATATATTATGATAATTATTAATTAATAATTTAACATGGATAAATAATAATATATTAATGGCCTTATACATATAGTAATGTGTAAATCAATACATAGTCTTGAATTCTCGTGTGATGTTATTCTACCAAAAATATCTCGTTGATGCATCATTATTAGGAAGGGTGCAAGTTGGGCAGGTTGGGCTGGATTTAAGCTCAACCCAAGCTCAATTCTAAGAATTGGGCCTAAGATTCAAGCCTGAGTATCCAATTCAGGCTCAATTTACAAAAAAAAAAAAAAAAATGCATGTGTTTGTATATGCATATAAGTATGGTCAAGCTTGGGTTGGGCTGGGGTCGGATTAGAATAAGGAAGAGTCGGGGTCACGCCAGGTTTTGACTATCTAAGGGCTAGGTACGGCCCCAGCCTGAAAAATTCAAAAACCCAAACTTATGGGCCCGGGCCCAGCCTAATGCCTTAAAATAAAAGTCCGGCCCATGTAAAATTACGAATTGAGTTGGTCCGGGATTGAGTTGGGCCCGCCCAAATTGCACCCCTAATTATTAGAAAATTCATATGCTGTATTCTGTTATTTGTAATTAATCTTCATATTAACTTGTGTGTATGTAGTCCTATTGGCCGGATATGGAAGGGTCGGATCTATTACTGATAAGTTGTTCCCGTATCCTTATCCACGGGACATTACATCTGTACCTAAAAGATTATGAGTTAAATTCCCAATTAAATAATTAAGTAAGGGTATATTGATTCATTTCAAATGGAATAAGGCAATATTGGAATTTGAATCCAATCAGAAAAATTCA